GGCAAGAGGCGCAAATACAACAAAAGCAGCCAACGCCTGGAAAAAAATGATCAACCAAAGAATAATGAGTGAAGCAATCGGAGGGGCCGAAAAGACGTTCTGCTGAAGGAGGTAAACATTTGTGGGCAGATGAATGAGCAGAAAGCATAAAAGAACATTGCCAAAAAGCTCAGTGCAGCCGCGAATTACCAGGTAGCAGACTCGATTATGTTCATTCAACTGACGATAGAGAAGTGGGTGCACTTTGGAGAGCATCAGTTTTGAGTCAATGGTGGATTTATTCACCAGCGACTTCACCTCTCGATTGACGTCCATCACGTGGCCACCGTACACAATGGTGCCGAGTAGTGTGCAGTTGACGAAGAAAATGGCCGATTGGATCATCTGCAGGAGACCATAAAGGGCAAATTGGACTTCAAAAAAGGCATAGCCAATTGAGTACCACGGGTGAACGGAAGCGTCGTAGGTGATGACGACCAGGCCAATGAATGCATAGGCTATCACAACTGCAATAGAGCGATTTTCATGTTTGTTGTTTAAAGTGTATAAAGTACTTATTACAAAATACTTACAATACCCAATTTGAAGAAAGTGCAACAGTTTGTCCATGACTATGCAATAAAACAGTGCATATGATCTGACATTTCTAGACAACGAAGGGATAACTTTAAGTGGCTTTTGAAAAAACCGTTTTTGATCAATGTTTTCAAGTGTTAAAAAATTGNGGCCAATGAATGCATAGGCTATCACAACTGCAATAGAGCGATTATCATGTGTGTTGTTTAAAGTGTATAAAGTACTTATTACAAAATACTTACAATACCCCATTTGAAGAAAGTGCAACAGTTTGTCCATGACTATGCAATAAAACAGTGCATATGATCTGACATTTCTAGACAACAAAGGGATAACTTTAAGTGGTTTTTGAAAAAACCGTTTTTGATCAATGTTTTCAAGTGTTAAAAAAATTTTAATTTTGGCTTTTAGCCGAAAATAAATGTTTAAAATTTTAGTAGGCACAAACAATGCAATTCTAGGATGATTTCTGATAAAATTATTTGATAAAGCACCTAATTTGCCTGTTAAGACTGAATCAAGTTTGTTTTTGTTTAATAAACAACGTTTATATTCGTCTTGATTGACTACAATCAGCTCATGCCACCAAACCCAGGCCATTGTTTGGTTATCGAGAAAGTAAAAAGAAAATTGACAGTAAAAATTAAAAATTTCAAACAACCAGACAACCGCCATGTAGTAGGAATCATAGGAATCTTTATGAAGCGCAAAATAGTAGGTGACCAGATCATACCGCAAATCAAAATACGTATGTTTAAAGTCATACTGCCAAAGGTACATGGCATAAAGCAGTCTAAAAGAGTAAATTAGCAAAAAAATGTCACTAACAAAGTACCACTTTTTGGCGTTTAGTGAGGGTGCTGGCTCAAGGACTTCACGTGCCATTGAATAGTAACAACGTCGAACTTTAGTTACCGACAAAAAAAATGACATTTTATTTAACTAAAAACAAGGTAAACAATACAAAACCTGCAAGTTCAACTGCTAGATTGCCAGTACAAATTATAAAATTAAAACGCTTTTTATTCACAGGAATGTACTGCAATAGAAGCATTTTAATGTTTTTTTATTTACCCTCTACTAGATGTTTTTTTCTAGTAGAAGATTGCATTTTTAGCATTCATGTTGGAGCAGTTTAGGTACTTATTTCCCAACAGTTGAAATTTATAAATGCACTTTTTCTAAAGATAGCAGTCAAATTTAAACTTTAAAAAAGTTGTTGTGCAAAAATAAAATAAAATGCTCCATTTACTATATTATTTACGAAGAAATATATTAAATATTAATTGTTTCTAAAAAGTAAAAAATTTTTAACATGTCCAAATTATTGCGCTTTTTGACAGGTAGTAAACAAAATAAATTAATAACATTATTAATAATTTAAAAAGGAAACATAAAGAACTCCTTTTGTTAGTCAAAATACAAAACATTTTTTTTATTTGCAAAATATGCAGCATTTTAACGAAATTAGCAGGTCAAAGTAACTAAATACCAGAGACAACTCTTATGTTATTTAAGTAAAAATTGATAGTTTTAATTAAAAAGTTAGTGATAACTGAGTGTTAGCTGCACTTTATTTGCACTTGGAAAAATTTTTGTAACAAAACAGTATATAAAAGTTTGCTTTTTAAAAAGAAAAAGTGACACTTGCTGGTGTGCAAAGTTACCAAAACAACAGCAAAATGTTGCTATTAGTCAGCGTCCTGCTGTTGACTCTAACAGCTGCAGCCAATTGTCAGACAACAAGACCAAAAACACCCACCACCACCACCACCACAACCACCACCAAAACGAGCCACCCACCAACTGAGACGACCACCTCGAAGCCCTTTGAGCAGTCAACACGATACCGGTTCAGCGCTGACCACCGGCAGATCTTCCTTCCCAACGTCCACCGGCCCGGCAGGCCCTCACTGAAGTTCAGCATCACCAATGGGACGGTGATCAAGGTGTACAACTACTGGGACGTCAAGTGGGGCTGGGTGCTGAGCGACCACTACGTGTCGATCATTGAGATTCGCGATGAGGCGGGGCACAACGTCACCCGCTACGAGTACTCCATTCCCGGCACCGGCAGCCTGAGGGAGCTTTGCTTCGACTACGCCCACCACAGTAATGCTGGAGGCGGCGGCCCCGCCCTCTGGTACGGCACCTACCAGAATAGTACGCCCCGGAACTGGCCACTGAACAGCGGCGACGCCCTGGAGCTGGCGGAGTTCAACAGCATGCGCCCGCTGGCGCATGACACCGCCCCTCGCGAGTACTACCGCATTCTGGAGCACCTCTTCATTAACACAGATGGCTTCGCGGTGCTGATGGACGAGTTCACGCCGCTCTTCATTCGCCGTCACCCAACTGACGGGCTGTGTTTCTTCTCCAACAACTCGCTGCCCTATCCGTTCTATCCGATCAACCCACGCTACAAAGACCTGTCATTGACCATCTTTGCGGGCAAGGACATGCGATCAGTGCTCGACTACGTCGTCCACCACTCCGGTCGGATAGCCAAACCGACAGAGCTGCCCGAGCTGGCCAAGTTTACCTATCCCTCCTGGTCAGACTACAGGGGCGACGACGTCGGCAAAAGGAGCGCAGTCACTGAAGGTGACCTGGTCAGTCTGGCCAACAGCATTGTCAAGTACAACTTCTCCGCCTCCAGTGAGATTTTCATCGACGATCACCTGCAGACGATGGACGGCAGCCTGGAGCTGAATGCGATCAACTTTCCCAACGGAAGGCAGGTCATTGCCGACCTGCAGAAGCGAGGCTTTCGCATCGGCCTGGGCATCAGCGGGCGCATCACCAATCACACCGACAACTCCACCGACCGGTACTTCCTGCGGGGGCCGCTCGGCGAGCTGACCAACCTGGTGGACTTCTCCGCGCCCGAGGTGGCCACCTGGTACGAGTACCTCCTGGAGAAGGTCAAGTACAACTTGGGCGTGGACGCCTTCCACCTGGCCTCCGCCGACGACGCCGTCCAGTGGGGACTGACGGGCGCCGACGAACGGGCGTGGCACTACCCAGCGCAGCTGACCAAAAAGTACATCGAGACGGCGAGCAGACTGGGCAACAAAATGGTCGCCGATGTGGGCTACAAGACGCAGCACCTGCCCAGCTTTGTGCGACTCAGCTACCAGAATAGCAAAGAGTTTCAAGGTTCAAACCGAAGTACAGGGAACTACGAGGACCGCCTGGCCAGCCTCATTCCCAACATGTTGGCAGTCTCAGTGGGCGGCTATCCCTTTGTGGCGCCCTACTCGGTCAGCGCAGTGGACGACGCCACTGGGGCGCTCCTGTCCTCCCCTGAGCTGTACATTCGACACGTACAGGCGGTGGCCTTCATGCCGGCGATCAGCTTTGAGCATCCGCCGTGGATCTTCGCCAATGACAGTGCCGTTCGGCTGGTCAGGGCCTTTGTGGAGCTGCACCAGGAGCACTCGCCGACGCTGGTGGCGCTGGCCAGGGAGCGCCTGAAAACGGGGGCGCCCGTGGTTCGGCCGCTCTGGTACGAGGAGCCGGAAAACAGGGCCACCCATCAAGTGGCCGACCAGTTCATGGTGGGCGAGGACCTGCTGGTGGCGCCCGTGCTCAGGGCGGGACAACGGGAGCGATCGGTGGTTCTCCTGGCGGGCACCTGGGTCGACCAGCACGGCACCGCCTACACCGGTCCAGCGACCATCAAGGTAAAGGCGCCGTTGGAGGAGTTGCCGTACTTTAGGCGGAGAAGGGCGTAAACTGCTAAAACACAAGAACAGCTCTATCAAAAAAAGTTTTAGAAACAAACTTTAAATATTCAAAAACAAAACGAAAAACTGCTTATTAGTTTCTACAAAAACACAACAGCCGTTCTGCTAAAGTAACATTGACACAACTGTTTCCGACAATTACAAAGTAAAGCAAAAAACAATCAGGCAGTTTATTTTTGCCTGTCCATCAGCAGAGGACACCACAGATGCGCTGCTGTTGTTGTCGCTGTCGCTGCTGCTTTTGCTGTTGCTGTTGCTGTTGCTGTTATTGGCGCTGTAGCTGTTTTAGCTTCACTGGGCAGTAGCGTACATGTAAATAATTGAGAGTGTGAAAGGAGAGAGCAAGGGAAAGAGAGAGAGAGAGAGAGATAGGGAATTGAGGCGGCAGCAGTGGCAGTGCTGCTGCAGTGGCTGCTTCTGCTGCTGTGAATCAGCGCCACCGTAGAACGCGGCAGCTCTGGGCTCGCTGCAATAGACACAAAGTTGCCACTGCAGTGTGTTGTGTTGTTGGGTGATCGCCACCGCCAAAGCTTGCACATCAACATACACACACACACACACACACACCATTTTACCCATCAATCAGCCAGTGCATTCGGTGTTAGTTAGTCAGCCAGTTAGATCTGTCAACGCCGGTGCCGCCTCAGTGCTGTCCCGTCATCTGATAGGGAAGTACTATCGGCAGCAGCAACTGGTCTGCACAGCTGTCTTATCAGACCACTGGCATACTTCTACTGTCATCTACTGTTCCTATCTCTCTAGTTTTGACCACCACCACCACCACCAGCAGTGCTGTACATCAACAGCGACAGCATTGACTATCACAGGCGGTGGGCGGTCAACTGCTCCTGCTGCTGCTGCAACAAAAGCAGAACAATCAGAATAGCTTTGAGGTTCATCACCACCATTATCACCACTGCTATCAGCACCACCACTACCACCACCATCATCAATCGACAGCACTAGCAGCGACACCACTAGCCAACAGGCCTCTTCAAGGTTTCCTCTCGCTTTTTCTTTCACTCAATGCCGATGAGTCAATGAATGCGTTGACCATCACAAACACTTGCGCCCCACTCATCACCACTCCTCTGGTCACCCTCATCGTCTTCCTCCTCGTCATCATCACTGTCACCATCATCAGCAGCTCTGATTATCGGCCAGTTCACCACACTGACCAGACGGCAGACTAGACAAGAAGTGAAGCAGTGAGAAGAGGAAGAGAGCGAGTGAAAACACACGCAAAACGTTGATGGTAACGCCTGTCACCCACACACACTGTTTGCACTTTTGGCCGGTGGTGAGTAGTGCAAAGTGTCTGTCTGCTCTGAAGAGGCTGCTTCTCTACGATGAACCACTGAACACTGAAACACACAGGGGGCGACACACTGACAAGAAAAAGCAGCACAACGGCAAACACCGTTTGACCTCTGGTGAATGGGCTGCTGCTGCTGCTGCTGCTGTTATCGTCTTTAAGGAAAACCCTTCTGCTGCAGGTGCTGGTGCTGCTGTCGCCACTGAAGTCAGTCACACACACTTCACACTTTGCCTTGTCATTCACCCTCGAGACGCTCGCCTGTGCGCATCTTGTCTCTCGCTTTCTTTTTCCCTTTCTTTTCTCTCTCTCACTCTTTGTCACTCATTCTTTCTGCGCCCCCCCCCC